AGTGCAGTGACAGAGACATCATGAACAGACATCCAACTACTGGTCTCTCCAGGAGCAGAAGAAAAAAGAGTGATGAAGACTGAAGATGCTTGGAATCCCTTAGTACAATGGACCATTGGAACATGTGAACATCAGTCTCTATGACCAAAAGAACTAGACAATGCCTGACCTCTACTACCAACTGCTCTGAAACGGATCACATTAGAAGGTTCGGGATAGAGAGTGGGAGAAAATGTGGAATAAAACTCAAAATTATTTTTTAAAAAGACCAGACTTACTGGTCAGAAAGCAATGAGAAACCCGAGACTAAGACCCTTGACCATCCTTCAGGTCTGGACAGGAGCTCGCCCTCGGGTGTGATTTTTAGCCAAGCAGTCAATAAGGTATATGGGGGGAACAACACCACCAGTACGGTATGCTCAACATGTCAATCATTCAAAATCAAACGGGTAACATTTACCGTAGGACAAAATTGAAAAGGGAAGGGAAGGAGGATGAAAACAGGAGCCACAGGGAGGCTGTGGAATAACTGTCATTGGATGGAGGGGCTGCAATCATTAAAATCAAACAAAGTGTAGGGTTTTGTTTTTAATGTACCAATGGATGATTTTGTCTATCAGCCTTCATTCAATTTATAATAAAAAGCTTTTTTTTAAATTCTAAAATAAAACAACAACAACAAAAAGTATTTATCATGCTCCTACCAAGTACTGGTAAGCACTCACTCATCTATGCCAAGAAATTTGGGAGACAACCATCTGGCCAACTGTTTGGAAGAGATCCATATTTGTGCCCATTCCAAAGAGAGGGGACCCAGTGGAATGTGGAAATCATTGGATAATATCTTTGCTATCCCATGTGAGTAAAGTTTTACTAAAGGTAAGTCAGAAATGGCTGCTAGCATACATTGACACAGAACTTCCAGAGGTTCAAGCTGGATTCAGAAGAGGCCGTGGAACAAGGGATACCATTGCTGATGTCTGACGGATCCTGGCTGAAAGCAGAGAATATCAGAAAGATGTTTACCTGTGCTTTATTGACTATGCAAAGGCTTTCGATTGTGTGGATCATGACAAGCTATGGATAACATTGCGAAGTATGAGTATTCTGGAACACTTAATTGTGCTCATGAGGAATCTGTACATGGACCAAGAGGCAGTTGTTCGAACAGAACATGGGAACACTGAATGTTTTTAAATGAAGTAAGGTGTGTGACAAGGTTGTATTCTTTCACCATACTTATTCAACCTGTATGCTGAGCAAATAATCCAAGAAGCTGACTTATATAAAGAAAAACGTGACATCAGGATTGGAGGAAGACTCACTAACAATCTGCGATATGCAGATGATACAACCTTGCTTGCTGAAAGTGAAGAGGACTTATAATATTTACTGATGAAGATCAAAGAGCACAGCCTTCGGTATGGATTGCATCTCAATGTAAAGAAAACAAAAATCCTCACCACTGGACCAATAAACAACATTCTTATCAACAGAGAAAAGATTGAAGTTGTGAAAGACTTCATTCTTCTTGCATCAACTATCAACACTCATGGAAGCAACAGTCAATAAATCAAACAACGTATTGCATTAGGCAAATCTGCTACACAAGACCTTTTTAAAGTATTGAAGAACAAAGATGTCAGCATGAGAACTAAGGTATGCCTGACCCAAGCCATGGTATTTTCAATAACCTCACATGCATGCGAAAACTGGACAATGAATAGGTAAGACGGTAGAAGAATTGATGCTTTGATTCTTTTGAGTTATGGTGTTGGAAGAGAATATTGTGACATGGACTGTCAAAAGAACCAACAGATCTGTGTTGGAAGAAGTGCAGCCAGAGTGCTCCTTGGAGGCCAGGATCGCCAAACTTCATCTCTCATACTTTGGACATATTGTCAGGAGGGACCAGTCACTGGAGAAGGATATCATGTTTGGTAAGGTGGAGGGTCAGAGAAAAAGAGGAAGACCCCCAGCGAGATGGATTAGCAAAGTGGCAGCATCAGTGGGTTCAAGTGTGGCAACAATTGTGAGGTTGCCTCAGGACTGGGCAGTGTTTCGTTCTGTTGTGCATAGGGTCGCTATGAGTCAGTACCAACTTGATGGCACCTAACAACAACAACAATCAAGTACTGGATGCTGTTCTGGGAGCTGAAGATACAATGAGAACATGGCAGGCATGGTCCTTAAATTCATGGAATTCGATTCTTCCTGAGAAAGAACTACAGAATTCCAAATGTGGTATGTGAGAGACATAAAAGGCAAAGTGTACTGAAGCAACAAAACACTGAGAAAACAAATGAACCCAGCTTTCGGCTGAGAATTGGGGGTGACAGGAAAGAGGCAGCCAAGTTTCAAAGGCTTCTTGGTTTGTTATACACTGCTGATTTAAAGCTTGGCACTTCAAACCCACTAAGTGGCACCTCAGAAGGGTTTCCAAAGTTGTTGTTGTTGTTGTTGTTGTTGTTAGTTTTCCTTCAGTTGATTCTGACTCGTGGTGACCCCGTGTGTCCAGGGTAGAATTGCTCTGTAAGGTTTTCAAAGTTATGCCTTTTCAGAATTTGATCACCAGGCCTGTATTCCCAGGTACCTCTTGGTGGGTTCAAGCCATGAACCTTTTGGCTAGAAGTCCAGCACCTAACAGTCCAAGCCATTTCTATGGAGCTGTTCTACTCGTCTGTAAATTATGAGGACACCATGAATCAGAATGCAGTCAATGGCCAGGTGTTTTTGTTTGTTTGTAAATCCATCCATCAGAGGGCCCTAGAGGTGGGAGTGTAAAGACACCACCCCTTTCTAACGCCCACTGTGCTCAGGAGTTAGATGGGGGTGGTTCTGCGGGAACACGAATTGAGTGGAAGATGTGAGCGGCTGCCATTGAATGGCCATGTTTAGGAATTCAGGTTTGCTTCTGTAAGTTCCAGGAGCTAAGAGATGCTTATATAGCGCAGTCACTGCTACTGTGTCAAGCTGGGCCCAAGCAGATCCTATTCTTGGCTTCGTCTCCTACTGCTCTGGATTCCTGCCAGCTGGGCTCAGTCTGTTCCACCACTCTGAAGAGCCCCAAGTGTTTTCTGGGATCAACTTTATGCCAGTGGGCAGCAGGAAGTACTTCAGACTGAACATTTCATGAGACTCAGACCATTAGAGCTGAGAGAAAAAAAAAAGGCATCTTGGGAGGTGAGAGTGTGAAGAGTAAAGGCAAAAGGACCACCACTATTGAGGACCAGGATCTCCCAGGGTGGTACTCTCTGATGGTGCAGAGTCCTGGTGTGGCGCTGCGGGTTAATGCGCTCAACTGCAAAGTAGGTTTGAACCACAAGGACGGTGGTTCAAGCTCACCAGCCGCTCCTCAGAAAACTGTACAGGATCGCTATAGGTCAGAATCGACTCCATGGCACTTAACAACAACGCCAACAACAATGGTACAATTGTGCAGTGGTTACGATGGCTGTTTGAACCCACACAGGAGAAAGATGTGGCAGTCCGCTTCTGTAAAGATTCTGGTGGAAAACCAACAAGGCAGTTCTACTCTATCCTTAGGGTGTCTTAGAGTCAGAACCACTTCTACACTAACAGGGTAATGGTTCAATCCCAAAAACTAAGCCTCCAAGACAGTGGTCCTCTGTCAGAAAAATAAACCACTCTATGACTTCTGAAATTATGTGACTAGGTGGCGACTTTTTCCTGAAAACTAGGAACTGCTCAAGGTCAGTGAGATGGGAACTTAGCACAGAGCCGAATGAATGAATGAGTCAGGCTTTGCAGTGTTGAAAGTGCTGCTTTATGTAGTATGTCACACTCTGTGTTGCACCTTTCCTGCCTAAACTGTTAGGCTGGGCTTTTCCACTTGAATAGCTCTGTCTTCATTGGATTACTGTAAATCTGTGGGTCCCAAAGTCCTGACCCTTTCCATTAGGAAGAGTCCGCAGGTGATGAGGAACGGCTCGGTCCCCAGCATCCTTATACCCTTGAGTTTAGTATTCTTCCAGTGAAGGAGATCTAGGCTTGTCAGGAAATGATGCTATAGAGTCGTGACAGCTAAAAGTGTAAGCACAGAATCCCAGTAGAAAGAAGATTCTTAATAAATGCCTGCCCACTCTCATTCCTATGGCTACTCCACAGTTTCTCTTTTCTACAGCTAGAACAAAACCACAGTCCTGAAGAGCCTCATGTGGCCTAAGGTGTTAGCTGTTGCTGATGACAAAGCTCGGAGCCCAGAGGCAAGGTTAGACAGCTGGTATACAAGCTCCAGATACCCATCCCCAGGATCCCAGCCTCAAGGCAGCAAGATGATGAAGACGCAGACATAGACGTCAGGCGGAGAAGGCTGCGTGAAAATGGGAATCCCGGAGGTGTAAACAGGGGAGAGGGGTGGAAGAGTGGACGGGGAGGGGGGGAGGGGTAGGTAGGTGAGCAGGAGCAGGAAGCGTTGGGTGACCAGGGAATACAAACAAGCCCCAAACTGAACCCTCTACATCATAAAAATCACTTCTGGTGGGTCCCCTATCAGCAAGTGTCAGCAGTGCCTGGCTTCCCACCACCCAGAAACTGAGCAAAGCCCCTTGGACTGATGAAGAGACGGGGTGATCTCTGCAGAGTGTGGCCGCCCAACTTCAGAGGTGAAGAACAGACTAGGATGGGCTATGTTGTGGGGTGGAAACAGTGAAGATGCCCCCAGGAGGGCTTCCTCTTGGATCTCAGAGCATCATCCCCACATTCAGGCCCCTGAGGTCATGGCCACTGGCCCTAGGAGCCTTGGTCCTGTTACCTAACTGCTGACCAGGGCTCCGACAACTGCCAACGACAGGTTCTGATTTGCTGATGGCCCTAGGGCTGTTTCCCGGGCTTGGGGCTAACACAAGCCCCTTTGGTCTGCCGAGTTGTGGAGCACCATCAGCTCTCCGAACTCCTTTGGTCTGCACTCCGGGAGCCGAGGGCGAGCCCTGGAGCCCCTTTCCGCCGGTCCCTTGGGCAGGCCCGCGCACCGCGCCTACCTGTGCCCGCGGCTCGCCTCCTCCTCGCTGGCGCTGCCCCACCCGGGGCTAAGATACCGGGCCGGGTCCCCCACTCCCCGCGTCTCCGCCCCCTCGTCCTCCTCCGGTTCCTCCACGTCCTCGGCCTCCAGGACGGCAACGCGGATCTGCACCGCGGTCTCGGGCCTGGACAGAGCCTCCTCGCCCTGCTGGGCCATGGCGCGCGGGCTGGCTGAGACTGCGGCGCCGCTGAGTCCCCACTCCGTGAGGCCGAGCCAGGCGGGGACGGGGACGGCGCGAGCGAGCGCGCCAGCGGGGAGGGACGGGGGTCCACGAGCCCCGCCCCGCGCCGACGCCGCCTCCCGGACTGTAGCCCAGCGCTGGCGCAGGCGGGGCGTGGAAGGGGCAGGACGATCCCTGTGCCCTCCTCCGGCAGAGGCCTGCGGGAGAGATAGTCCCTGGAGCCCGGGCTCCGCTCTTCTGTCCGCCCGCTGTGCGCAGGGCCCAGGGCTCCCTCCTCTGGCCCCCTCTTTTAAGGCTGCCCCGCAGGGAGGGAGGGGCGTAACACATCTGAGTTCTTAGTTTGTGAGTGACTGGGGGAGACTCACAAGGGGTCTAAAGGCGTCTCTACCGCCTGCGTGCTTCTCCCATTGACTCAGTTGACTGAATTCTCCACCTTCAGTCTTTTGGGCCTAAGCACCCTAAACTATGCATTTATGAGGCCGGGGCTCAAAGAGTGAGATCCTTACACTAGCATCATCAGCATTACCTGGGAATTTGTTAGAAATGCAAGTTGTTAGAAACGCTGTTGGTTAAAGCGAGAGGCCTGCGGTTCAAGCTGACCAGCTGCTCCTAGGAACCCTATACAGAGTCTCTATGGGTCGCAACCCGACTCAACAGCACTTAACAACAACAACCTGAAACAGCGTCTGATTGAGCACTTTTGAATTTTAACAAGCCTTCTAGCTGCTGCTGAAGCTAAACCAGCCCTCTCTGAATTAAGTCCTGCACGCAGTCTGCGCGTCAAATTGATTTTCATTTAAACCTCCTAAATGTGAACTAGAAAGTAAGGGAGGGTGTTATTGCTGTTAAATGCCCTCAAGTCAATTCCAACTCATTGTAACTCCATGTGACAGAACAGCATTGCACCCGAGGGTTTTCTTGGCCCTAATCCTTACAGGAATAAGTCACCAGGATCTCTCCAACAGACTCACTATGTAGGTTCAAACTGCCAACCTTCGGTCATTGCAGCGCTTAGCCAATGCACTACCAGGCTTCCCGAAGGTAGTGATCAACTGGCGTGCTAACGTGGTTCTTCGTTGCAAGTTGTTCCGGACTCACAGTGACCCTGTAGGACAAAGTGAGGCTGCTGCTCTATGAGCTTTCTTAGGCTATTATCATTATAGGATTTTTCACTCATGGAGCCATTGGGGGATGTAGGTTGCTGATCTTTCGGTTAGCAGCCTAGTGCTTAACCACGGTGTCACCAGAGCTCCATAAGATGTGGTAGTGGTTGCTCTTGTGTGCCATCAAGTCAGTTCTGACTCATAGTGACCAGTATAGGGTTTCCGAGAAGCCACTGATGGGTTTGAACCACTGACTTTCAGTTAGCAATCCAATGCTTATCCTACAGTACCATACCAGGACTCCAAAGTAGGATTGTTGTTGTTGTTAAGTGCTGTTGAGTCGGTTCCGACTCCTACTGATCCTGTAAAGGTTTCCAAGGAGCGGCTGGTGGGTTTGAACTATCTTTCGATGAGCAGTCCAGTGCTCATCCTACAGCACCACACCTAAAACCTGAGTGAATCTGCTTTCACAAAACTCCAAATTTAGTTCCTTAAACATACTTTTATCATATGAGTTTGTCACAATCCAAAGAGCAGACCCCTGGACCATTAAGTTTGGATAGGGGAGTAAATTAGTGGAGGCTCTAGGACCAGGTTTTCAGTGACTAAATATTCAGAAGTACTTTGTCACTCTTTCTTCCTAGTCTGTCTTCGTCTGGAAGCTCATCTGAAACCTGTCCACCTTGGGTAACCCTGCTGGTATTTTAAATATCTATGGCATAGCTGTCAGAATCACAGCAACTCACATGCCACCACAGTACAACAAACTGACAGACGTAAGGTGGAGGGTCAGAGAAAAAGAGGAAGACCTCCAGCGAGATGGATTAGCAAAGTGGCAGCATCAATGGGCTCAAGCGTGGCAACAATTGTGAGGTTGGCCCAGGACCCGGCAGTGTTTCATTCTGTTGTGCATAGGGTCACTATGAATAAGTACTGACTTGATGGCACCTAACAACAACAACAACTAGGAACAGGGTCTCCTGGAGAGTAATATCCTTAGAAAGACACCATGCATGGGACCCAGGGTCCAGCAAATGCAGCACTAATTTTTAAGGTTGGTTACAATATATGCTGGTGTGGCACTGTGGATTAATGAACCAGACTGCAAAGCCATTTGAACTGCAAGGTTGGCGGTTCAAGCTCATCAGCTGCTCCTCGGAAACACTATACAGGGTCACTATAGGTCAGAATCGACTTGACAGCATTTAACAACAACAATATGTACCCACCCTCTCTCTCTCTCTCTCTCTCTCTCTCTCTCTCTCTCTTTTTCATATCTCTCATTTGAAAGAGGTTCTAGAAGGGTCAACCAAAAAGATGAAGACCCCCAATGAGATGGATTGACACAGTGCCAGCCACAATGGGCTCAAACGTAACAACAATTATGAGGACTGTGCAAGACGCAGGACGGGCAATGTTTTGTTCTGTTGTTAATGAGTCAGAGCTGACTTGATGGCATCTAACAATAACAATAACATGATTTAGAAGGCAGCGCATGTTTTTGCTTTAACTTTGTATGACATCCGCATGAGTGTCTGACCCTAGTGAACACACAAGAAATATCTTGAATAATTAATTGTTGTTTGGGGAAAAAAAGAAAGAAAGAAAGCGGTTTTAGAATAAGTGACAGAAAAGAGAGACCCCTTGATGCTCCTGTTTTTTTCTCAGTCAGAGCAGCTCGCAATCCTGGGACTCAGCTACGGTGTCTCAACTACATAGAGGACGAAGCCAGAAGTTCTCAGCTGTGTCTTCCTCCTAGGTTGAAGAGATTTCAGAATTTCTGCACACGCCCCCCACCACTGTGCTGAAGCTGAGGAGCAGAGATTCGCAGCTACCGCTACACCTCCTAGTCTGATAACTTCACAAAGCCATATGCACTATCTCATCTAAAGTACCCTGTGTGGCAGAGACCTACCCACTGCCATCAAATCAAGTCTGATTCATAGCAACGCTGTAGGAAAGGGAAGAACAGATATCTCCATAGGCTTTTCAAGGTTGTAAGTCGGTATGGTATGCAAGCAGAAAACCTCATTTTTATCCAAAGGAGCGGCTGATGAGTTTGAACCCCCAACCTTGTCGTTAGCAGCCCAGTGCTTAACCCACTATGCCACCAGACTCCTTTGTGGTACATAATGGATTACATTTGCATTAGGTTTTACAGTTTCTGATTGCTTCATCATAACGTTCCCCTGGGGACTTTCCAGAATACGTAATTTCCTAGGCCCTTACAGTTTGAGAACTAGGAGTCGGAGGATGCGTATGGTTTGCACTTGTCTTTTATTTGGTTGCTGTTAGGTGCTGTCAAGCTGACTTCCATTCATAACAGCCCCATGTAACAGAGAACTACCCCATAGGGTTTTCTAGGCGGTCATCTCTATAGGAGTAGATTGTCCGATCTTTCTCCGATGGAGATACTGGAGGATAGGTTTGAATTTTTTTTTAAAAAGTAAATTGAATGTATATGTACTTAGATTCAAATACATCTGTGCCTAGTATTTCTGATTATTATAGATTGAATTGTGTCCCCCAGAAAGATACATTGAAGTCCTAACTTCTGGTCCCTGTGAATGTGCCCTTGTTTGGAAACAAGGTTTTTGAAGGTGTTATCACCTAACATGAGTTCCTTATGGAGCTGGCTGGGTTCGAATCCAGTATAGGAGTCGTGGTGTGGTGATGTAGGATAAAGCACTAGACTGCAGAGTTGGGCTAAATTGCAAGGTCAGTGGTTCAAACCCACTAGCCACTCCTTGGAAACCCTATACAGGATTGCTATGAGTTGGAACTGACTCGACAGCACCTAACAATAACAACAACAACCCAGTATAAGCACTGTCTTCATACAAGAAGAGCGGAGACACAGAGAGAGACACAGAGGGAAGATAGTCATGTGACAATAGAGGCAAAGACTAGACTAATGTCTCTACAAGCCAAGAAGACCTAGAGCAGTCAGAAGCTAGGAGTGAGGGCTGGATCCTATTCTTCTCGGAGTTCGCAGAAGGCCTGAATAACACTGATTCTGTGCTCTCAGCCTCTAGGATATGAGACAGTGAACTTCTCTTCTTATAAGCCACCCAGTTTGGGGTCCTTTGTTACGGCAGTCTGAGAAGATATAAAAGAGTTTTATATCCAGAAAGGATGCTCACCATCACCCAGCTCTGAGCAATTCCCGGTAGAAAATGGGTACCCCCCTACCCGCCCCAAAGTACAGACTTTCCACAGGACCCCACTAAGTCAAAAGGTCCGTTTGGAGCATTTTTTCTGGAATATTAATTTTACTCAAATATTTGGGAGAGGAGTCATAATGTATACTGCTAAAACAACTTGTAATACACTGTGACATTAAATGAAAAGTTGCATGGAATTTTTAATGTAAATCACAAGACTTTGCAGGCCTTTCTTATTTATGGTGGTCTTCTGTGCCCAATGCCTGAGGAGGGGCACATTCTCATCTATATTTGGGGTACTTCCTTGAGGAGGAGTTCAACTCAAGTCACTTTTCAAATGAGGAAACTGAGTCCCAGTGAGGTTTGCAGGGAAGAGTCTCTTACCCCTTTCTGCATCTCCCGTTCTGTGTAGCAGAGACACTCACATGTAGGGACAATCGCTGACTGGGCTAACTCTGTCCACACGCCCCATCATTTGTGTCACTGGCAAAGGCCCTTCTATAGGGCCCCTTCTGGTTGCCAGCTCCCTCCCTCTCCAAGTTGTGGCAGGGGAATGAAGCAAGTCATACCCACGCCCACCTCAAGCATCATTTCAAGGCATTTGCATCATCACTGGTATGATTAGCAAAGTGTTCTTAAAGGAAAACATGACCTCAGTCTAGAGTTGGCAACGTTCCCTTTCCTTGTAATCTTGATGCCTCATTTTTA